AATAAGGGTATTAATAGACTTACAACAGCAGGTCAAGATTTCCAATATAAACATGTTTAGTTTGAAAGCCTACAAGTTGTACTAATAGTCTTAAATGTAAGAAATCACACTTCTAGCTAGAGATAAAAATTTTAGAGGCCTTGACATAGAGATGAAATTTAAAGCCAACAGATAAGGTCGTGTAGAAAAAAGTAAAGATCAATAATTGGCTTGCAATCAATCCCTTAGGAACTTCAACATCTCCAGGGGTCCTCAAACTTTTTAAACAGGGGGCCAGTTCACTGTAACCTCAGACCGTTGGAGGGCTGGACTATAGTTTAAAAAAAAAAAAAAGCTATGAACAAATTCCTATCCACACTGCACATATCTTATTTTGAAGTGAAAAAACAAAACGGGAACAAATACAATATTTGTATTTGCATGTGGCCTGCGGGCCGTGGTTTGAGGACCCCTGAATTCTAAACACTATGTAAAAGGACTTAGTTGGGCAAAGCAACTGAAAAGGAAGAAAGGGCAAGGGAAGGAACACCTAGACTGCCATCCTATCTAATAAAAGAGAAACATGGTAATTAGCGTACGGCCGCTACCCTTCCCATTGGCTAATCAGGGAGATATGCAAATTAACTGCCAGCCAAGATGGCAGCCAGCAGCCAGGCAGCTGGAAGCGAACATGAGGCTTGCTTGCTTCAGTGACAGAGGACTCCAACGTTCCCCGCCTTCCTTGCCGGCCTCTGAGCTTGCAGTTTGAAACATTGTAACAAATATAGAAGCTAAACAAAACCCCAGAAACCTGCTTTCAGCCAGCCGGGATCTCAGAGCTGGAGTTATACATTGTTTTGATTATAGAACCCAAACAAACCAGATACCTGATTTCAGCAGCAGAGGCCTCAGAGCTGGAGCCAGAGCTAAAGCTGGCCCAGAATTAAAAAAAAAGAAAAAAAGGAGCAGTTGGGAGCTTCAGTCACCCGCCAGCCTGAAAACAGCCCTCAGCCCCTCACCCAGACTGGCCAGGCACCCCAGTGGGGACCCCCACCCTGAAGGGTGTGTGACCAGCTGCAAACAGCCATCATCCCCTCACCCAGGCTGGCCAGGCACCCCAGTGGGGACCCCCACCCTGACCCAGGACACCCTTCAGGGCAAACCAGCCAGCCCCACCCATGCACCAGGCCTCTATTCTATATAGTAAAAGGGTAATATGCCTCCCAGCACCGGGATCAGCGGAGCCGAGAGGCCTCCTGGCACCAGGATCAGCGTGACAGCACCCAAACCCCCTGATCACCCTGCGGCTCTGTGTGTGACAGGGGGCAGGGCCACAACCTCCCTATCCGCCCTGCTCTGTTCGTGACAGGGGAAGGCGTCCCAACCTCCTGATCAGCCCCGCTCTGTGCCTGATAGGGGGGAGCTCCCCAACCCCCTGATCGCCCTGCGGCTCTGTGTGTGACAGGCTGCGGCGCCCCAACCCCCTGATTGGCCCTGCTCTGTGTGTGACAAGGTGTGGCGCCCCAACCCACCCCCCCCACGGGCCCTGCTCTGTGTGTGACAGGGTAGAGCCATAACCTCCCCATCGGCCCTGCCCTGAGTGTGACAGTGGCGGCGCCCCAACCCCCTGATCGGCCCTGCTCTGTGGGTGATAGAGGGTGGCGCCCCAACCCCCTGATCCGCCCTGCTCTGTGTGTGACAGGGGGTGGTGCCGCAACTCTCCTATTGGCCCTACTCTGTGAGTGACAGGGGGGAGCTTCCCAACCCCCTGATCGACCCTGCTCTGTGCGTGACAGGGGGGAGCTCCCCAACCCCCTGATGGGCCCTGCTCTGTGCGTGACAGGGGGCAGCGCCCCAACCCCCTGATCGGCCCTGCTCTCTCCGTGACAGGGGGTGGCACCGCAACCTCCCTATCGACCCTGCCTTGAGTGTGACAGGGGGCGGTGCCCCAACCCCCCAATTGGCCCTACCCTGAGCATGACTGAGGGTGGCATCGCAACCTCCTGATCCGCCCTGCTCTGTGCATGACAGGGGGCGGTGCCCCAACTCCCCAATTGGCCCTGCTCTGAGCCCAACCAGGGGCTGCACCTAGGGATTCGGCCTGCCCTCTGCCACCCGGGAGCAGGCCTAAGCCAGCAGGGCGTTATCTCCTGAGGGGTCCCAGACTGCGAGAGGGCACAGGCTCGGCTGAGGGACCCCCCTACCCCCTAAAGTGCACAAATTTTTGTGCACTGGGCCTCTAGTTTCTTATAACACAGGGAAATGGGTTTCAAGTATTATTAATACTACTAAGAGGGCAAGTAAGCATGGCCGCATTAGGAGCTTCTATCATAGATATGAGGTCCCTGTAGGTAGAGATGACTTTCTTTACATTTGAGCCCCAGACCTTGCCTAATGTTCTCACATAGTAGATGCATAATATATTTTTGCTACATTAAATAATGAATAGGATAGCGACATTTTACATATTGTCAGGTTTTGCAGAATGTTTTAAATGCATAATTAAAATTCATATCCACACAGTCAGGTATCTATTTTCAGCTCCATTTTCCAAAGAAAGAATTGATCTTCTGGAGAAGTCAAGTTTCTTGCCCAAAATCAAATGTTTAGTGGGATGGTATGGACAGGACAATTCTATTGTTTATACTCAACTTCCCAATTTACTCAGGATGATGGATAACTGAAGTCACATAATAGCTACTGACACATATTAACATGCATTATATGAACATATGTTAAGATGTATATATAGGAATGCAATTGCAAATGGCTATGTATGTGTATGTGTGTGTCTATATTTACCAAGACTTGAAAAAAACAACAACTTCAAAGACAAAAGTCTTGGGGATGGTAGTCAGCTAACAAGATTCTAAACAGTATACTCTGGGTCTGGGAGGTGACCAATGGAAGGAAAGAGGCTGAGGGTGTGAACAGACCGCTGCAGAGGGTTGACAGTGAGTAAGGTTGGGGACCATCAGCCACTGTGTCCAATCATGCAGAGGACAGACTTAACATGCCCTTGGTATGGAAGAGGCTGCAGTTGCATATCATGACTTCTAGCCACATTCACACATGGGAAAGAAGTGCAGCTGCAGTGACATCTTCAGAGAGGGGGTACAATAACCCAAAGTAAGGGAATTAGTCATTTTTCAACTTCTTTGTCTCACATTTTCATTTGCTGCTAACCACGGTTAACTGATGAAAAGATTGTCCCTCCCCACATGACTTCCAGTTCCCATCACATCTGCAAATCCGCATACACCAGCCCAAAGCGCAGGACATCTGGGATTCAGGAAGTTCGATGGATTTTATCATCATTGCATATTGGAAATCTGCTTCTTCTGTAACCTCCCTTCTCTCGATTCCTCTGCAGCTGATTTGGGAGTGAATGAGCTCATGAAGGATTCCTTCTCCTTCAGACACATATGTAAAAAGAGAAGATCCTCATGACATTTAGTCCTTAAAAGAACAGGACTCTGTTCTTTCCCAGAATTTTGATTCCTATAAAGTTCTAGCAGAGAACCACAAAATGGAACATAAAAACTCCCTTTGTGGCTCTTGGAACCTATGTTCTTAGAAGATGTAGTCCAGTGATGGCGAGCCTTCTGAGCTCGGCGTGTCCGCATTTTGAAAAACCCTAACTTAACTCTGGTGCCGTGTCACATAGAGAAATTTTTTGATATTTGCAACCATAGTAAAACAAAGATTTATATTTTTGATATGTATTTTATATATTTAAATGCCATTTAACAAAGAAAAATCAACCCAAAAAATGAGTTTGCGTATCACCTCTGACACGCGTGTCATAGGTTCGCCATCACTGATGTAGTCTGTAGCTCACTACATAGGCATTTCCAATACATGAATCTAGATGGAGGATCCTAGTGATGCTCTTGGATAAGCAGAGGTGCTCACAATAAACTCGGCAGGATCTGTACTCTACAGCCTCCTAATGGCTCTATAGGTGTAGACCATGCTTCCCCAGTTACACCTTTAAAGACATCAACAATGGGATTGTGTTATAGACCAAAAGGGGCTTTGCCACTCTCTGAGACTATGACAAGCTCAGAAAATAGGCTCAGAATGCTGCTAGGCAACATTTCCCAATGTGCGTTGAACCCCGTAAATGGCTCCTTAAAGAAAGGATTCCACTGGTAAAAGGTTTGGGACATCATCTAAGCATAGGCTCTTCCTGGATAATATAAAATATCATCCTTGGTTCTAAGAAAATCTTATGTTTAAGAAACCAGTTAACTTTTATTTTGTGCTTTCCAAACTTCTTTAACCATAGGATTCTTGGGTTGTTTTGGGTTTCTTTCTGCAATAGGAGTGTGTTTTATTGAACACCGGTTTGGCAAAGTACAATTAGTGCCTAGCTTGGGACGACTTGGGTTCAAATCGGGCTCTGTAATTTCCAGGTTCCTGCCCTAGCCATGTAGAGTTATGTGAGCTTGGTAAGCCATTTTAACCCCCACAGCTCATGGAAATAATAATGCATGCCTCAGCAATCAATGCAAGGCTTCTAGGAAGTGACATCAGTGAAGTGTCAAACATAGTGCTTGACACAGAGTAAAAGCCTACAAATATTAACTAAATCTGAATCTGAATCACTGCACTGAAGGAATCAAAATAAAAACGAACAAAAGGCACGTCCCATAAATGATGCAGACTCTAATGGCAAGCTTTGCGAAACATCACACACACACACACACACACACACACACACACACACCAAAGATCATGTACCACTATACACTTTGTAGCAGGTGGATGCAGTAGAAATGCTTAAGTAACTTGGCACATGTCCTTGAACGCTTTCAGTCTTAATTGTAAAGCTAGATTAGTAAGGTAGATTGAAAGCCAGACATTTGCATTGAACTTCCTTGAGGAAAAGCATCCCGGAACTGGAGTGCTGGGAAAGCTATTCAAACACTTCCCTGGGAGATGCAAATCGTTTTCTAAATGCTGAATAGAAACATGCTGACACTCCATTACAGCACTAATGCCGGGTCTGGTCATACACCCAGCATTTAGTCTATGTTGTGTGCTGTAGAGAAAAGAAATTCTGCTAAGAAAGCACTGTGGCCTGACAGGTTCGAGCTGAAAAGGAAGTTTGACTTCCAGATCTCTTTCACTTTTAAAGTAAGTGAATATATTTCTTTTTTTGACCAGGAAGTAATTAATTTTTCCACTGACTTCTAAACAGATTCTCCTTGCACTAGGGAAGTCCAAGTCAGCCCTGTATTTGAAAATTAGCATACATTTATCAGACTTTCGACCAGAATGGAAATCCCTAACTGATCTTTCAGCTGCATAGCACAATTCTGTCTTTGAAAAAATGTGAACCAGCTTTCTGGGAAGGGTTATCTTGTCCTTGCCTGAAACTGGAACACATTAGTCACCAGCAGACCTTATTAAAATCTAGCAAAACAGTGGGCAAAATAAAATCTCTCACTGGTCCACTTAATTTGACTAGAAATTGTCAGTTAGCTTCCTGAGAACAGGCTGAATCAAGAGGAGGAGAGGCTAGATTCGGTGGGTGAGAAACTTACTCAGTAACAACTTACGCCTTCAGGCATTTCCAATAAAAAGGGGGTGACATTTTCTCCAGACAGGTCTGGAGTCTGGAGGAGATGACTCAGATTCACAAACGATCTCAGACACTTTACTTCAAGGCCGTAAATGTGAAATGTGAGAAGTGGTGGTGTTGTTCCAATCAGCCAAGCGCCATGTTAGATCCACGAAATGCATCTGAGCATGAAGCTGAACCGTAGACGCAGTTTGAAGCTGCTTGGGATGAAAATCTGTCCAGCTGATACAAAAACCTAAGCCCTTCAAATACGGGTTCATGAACTGGCTTTAGGGACAAACGGTCTTGACCTAAAACTTCACTGAGAAATGTTGCTCAAGTCTCCCATTTAGACAAATTATAAACTATGACCTCAGAGTCTGAGGAAAGAGAAAGAGGGCGCGGAGACTAATATTTATTGAGTAGCCTCTTTGTTCCTTAAAGGCGCTGTGTTTGTTAATTTGCATACATGTTCTCATTAGTCTATTACAACATCTCCGGTAGGCATCATCATTCCTCTGTGATAGAGACACAGAGAGGACCAACAACTTGCTTAAGCTCACACAGGGAAACATTCCAAGTCAGGCTTTCTGTTTGTAAAACTAGAGCTTTCTCCTCCTCTCATGATCTCCACCATGTGCTTTATAAATCAGAGGTCTGGGGTGTATTCAAATGGATAGCATTCTTGTCAATTTCCTTGAGTGACTTCAGCATGTAGATCTTTGTTCTCCTAAGTTAAAGAAAATCAGAATAGCCAGCATGATTAATGACAAGAACGGTGCTAAAAACTTTACAGATATGATTGTTCATATCTGTAAAGAGCCTATGACAAGTTCTACCTCTCCTTTTACAGATGGGCAAACAGGCTCGCAGCACACACTGCTCGGCAACAGGCAGTTCAGAAGTGGCAAGGCCAGGATCAGAGCCCGGCTCGGCCCATTGCAACAGCCATTCTGTTGAGGTTCGATACATGCACACTCTATGCATCTGTTTTTCTAAAATTCTTCTGGCCTTGTTCATTCTGTTCACAGTGCAGCCATACCGTCCCTGGAACTAATACGGAACTTTGTGTTTCTTTGTCCGCACAGGTGCTATGACTATGTGCTTCCCAAATGATGAGGTCTGATTCTGGGAATGCAGTGGCTTTACAGTTGAGTGTTTCATTTCTGGTTGATGAACTGTCATGAAGAAGATGAACCTACCAGTCAAAGTTAGTGGCCTACAATTTATGTATTTATATTGGCAGGTCAGTTATCAAAAATTACTCCAAAACTGCTCAACAAAATTGCTTGCCATAAAAGGAAGAGGCCAATGAGCGGTAGTGGGGTGGCGTGGCTGCACATTCTGATACACCAGACATTCACCACCAGTGTGATCACCTCCACAGGAATGAGGAGTGTGACTAGACATTCGCCACCAGCTGTGGAAGAAGGAGTGTGGCTTTAGGACTTGCCTTTTTCTAAAAAATATATTTTTATTGATTTCAGAGAGGAAAGGAGGGGAGAGAGAGAAACATCAATGATGAGAAAGAATCATTTATTGGCTTCCTCTTGTACACCCCACACTGGTGATTAAGCCTGCAACCTGGGTATATGCCCTGACCAGGAATCGAACTGTGACCTCCTGGTTCATAGGTTGACCACTGAGCCACGCCAACTGGGCTAAGACTTTCCTTTCACAATAGCAAGTTTTATCAACATAACTATCATGAAGCATACCTAGGCTTCAAGTTCAATTTTAAAGAACACAGTCTCTCATATACTTTGCTGCATTTGTCATCATTCTTAAACATGATCAATAGCAGCTAAAGTGTTCCTGTAATCTTGTGAAAATATATCAACTTATTCATTTGGAGACAGTAGGCAGACTTTAGTTGTCCCTAGAGTTTGTATAAGAGCAAGGAAGGCTTACTGTTTCTCTAGAAGAGATGTTGCCACTCATCCTCCACCAAAGACCAAAAAGAAAATACAGTTGTACATTTGTATCTCTATACAGATAGTAAAACCTGTGTGTTAGTCAAACAAACAGAGATTTTCAATACTTTAATAGAACAGAAAGAATATACTCATTCCAAAATGAGTCTAGCTAATAGAAGTTGTGAGGTGTTTCTTATAGTTCAATTTTAAGTATTTTATCTCTTTTAACTAGAGGTCCAGTGCACAAAATTCCTGCACGGGTAGGGTGCCTAGGCCTGGCCGGCGATCAGGACCAATTGGGGCCTTCCGGCTGCTGGCCAGGGCCTTCCTTTGTTCCGTGCCACCCGCTGGTGGTCAGTGCACATCATAGTGAGCGATAGAAATCCTGGTTGCATTCACGTGGGGACACTTTGCATATTAGCCTTTTATATAGATAGATAGATATCTGAGTTTGCCTCTAAGAAGAAGCCTGTAGCTTTTCTAACTCATTTCCTCTTCTCAAAGAGTCTGAATGACTTTCTCACAATGGCCACAGTGCTTTCATCCAAATTTTCCTTCATGGTCAGGAGGGATACCACAGCCCTGACCTGGGCAAGACACTCATGAGGCAGGGCCAAGTGTGCCAGAGCAGGGCTAGCTACTCATTATGAGGTACAGAGTTGAGGAGAAGCCAGAATCTCAGTTTGAGATGAAAGTAGGCCCAGATGGAGATCTGGGTCTCAGAAAGAGGGCTGGATTCTGGGTTGGAGGTCTGGGCCTTGGCATGGAAGTCTGGGACCTAGATGTTGGTCTGGGCCCTGGATAGAGGTTTGGGTCAGAGAAGAATATCTGGGTCTGGGGTGGAGGTCTGGGTCCTGGGATGGAGGTCTGGGTCCTGGATGGAGATCTGGGCCCCAGAAAGAGGACTGGATTCTGGGTTGGAAGTCTGGGCCCCAGGATAGAGGTCTGGTCCTGGCATGGAGGTCTGGGTCCTGGGATGGTGGTCTGGGACCCGGAGAGAGGTCTGGGTCCTGGGAAGGGAGTCTGGGCCCCAGTATGGAGATCTGGGCCCTGGATAGAGGACTGGATTCCATGTTGGGGTCTGGGCCCTGGCATGGAGGTTTGGAACCCAGATAGAAGTCTGGGTCCAAAGACGAGTTCTGGGCCCCTGCATAGATGTCTGGACCCTGGGAAGGAGGTTTGGGCCCCGGGATGGAGGTCTGGGCTCAGGAATATTGGTCTGAGCCCTGCAATGGAGGTCTGGGCTCAGGAATGTTGGTCTGAGCCCTGCAATGGAGGTCTGGGACCTGGATGTAGGTCTGAGCCCCAGAGGGAGGTCTGGGTCCTAGGATAGAGGTCTGGGTCAGAGAAGGAGGCCTGGGTCTGGGATGGAGATCTGGGCCCTGGATGGAGGTCTGGGTCCTGGGATGGAGGTCTGGACCCCAGATGGAGATCTGGGCCCCAGATAGAAGACTAGATTCTGGGATGGAGATCTGGGCCCCAGATGGAGGTCTGGTTCTTAGGAAGGAGGTATGGGCCCCTAACGGAGGTCTAGGTCCTGGGATGGAGTTCTGGGAACTGGAGGGAGCTCTGAACCTCAGATGGAGATTGGGGCCCTGGATTCTGGGATGCATATCTGGGCCCCCGATGGAAGTCTGGATCTTGGGAAGGAGTTTTGGGCCCTGGGATGGAGTTCTGGGCTCTGGGATAGAGGTCTAGGCCCTACGATGGAGGTCTAGACCCTACAATGAAGGTCTGGGCCCTGGTTGGAGGTCTGGGTTTTGGAAAGGATGTCTGGGTCCTAGACTGGATGTGGAGTTTTAAAAGTCTGTTCTAAGGGGACAGTCCTGAAGAAAGAAAGAAATGTACACTGAAGGAAATGTTATAAGGACTCTGCAAGGCTTGGGACTCAGAGCTTGGACAGACTCCCTGAGCAATGGTAAGTAGCAGAATTGGAGTCATTCCAGTTAATCTAACATACTTGAACAAGTCTTGTTGGTAGAATAATAGCTTGTTTAGACATTATTGAATCTCAACACTTCCAAAGTCTAGTTGAACAGAAGTTAGATGAAATTTTATGCTGATATAAGCTACTACTCTCAGTACTTGACTCTTTACAGAGCAATTTTCTGTTTAATCAGAATGCTCTTCCCTCCACACACCCCCTCCCCATTTTTTCATGCTAGAATGCATGGTCTTGCCCTCTACCCAGGAGTTCTCTGCATTCTCTGGGCCTTCCCATAATGCTGACACAAAGAGCTCAGAAGTGAAAAGGGTTATTAGCCAATGCTTATGTGGCATTATAAACATAATACAGAGTGTGGGGAGTTTTGTTTCTTAAATATAACAGTTTATTTTGCTGAAATTATTATAACTTTTCATCTCTTTCATTGTGTTCCAAAACCTGAGCAATTCTTTTAATTAACATAATTGTTTTTGTTGTTCAATTACATGTACGTGTTTCATAAGTAACATAGTCATTTTCTCTGCACTTGGATGGGTGGAAGCTCCAAATAGACAAGAATGAATGTGCAGCTGATTCTAATGTACTTCTCTGCCTGCAGCATTTGTCCAGGTGTGGGGAAAGCTAACTGGTTCAACCTAAGAGAACACAGAGATTCCTCATAAAAATGAAATCCATAGAACAGAGTTGAACACCCTGGCAGCTCACAGTTTAGCGCTTTCCCAAGACCTCATGCTTTTAACTCTTGTCCATGCTTTAAAGATTCAGAAAAAGAATTATCAGGCTTAAGTTTCTTACTGAGATGAGATGGGGAAAGAGTTGTATTGGGCTTCAGAAATTCTGGGATCAAAATCCATTTTCCGAAATTCCTGGCTAGGTGAACATGGATAAGTCACATTACCTTTCTGCATCTTCATTTCCTCACTAATCAATTAGGGACACCAATCCCCTCTTTGTGCTCTCTCACAATATTGCTCCCTCTATCAACTAAAATAGTATAAGGTATAGTGGAAAGCACAAATCAAATATAAGAAATGCTTATTATACTTTCTCCTCTTGCTATTTTGTCAAAAATTATTAAATCCATGGTCTTCAAGTGGCCAAAATTAGTTGGTGGGTGAGTGTCACGTCTGCTACATACAGCTATGCAGATGGTACACTGAACAACTAAGACCATTAGGATGGCATGGAGAGGGCTGCAAATCCAACCTCAGGTCTCCTGACAAACCCATGGGGCTGCGTTACTGATTTAGCTTCACTAATTAACATAAAAGGACAATTTATGTTAAGAGAAGTCTGGATGGTACAAAAGAAATTAGGGCTTTCTGGAATCAGTCCTGAATATCTAATTAAACATATTTATAATATCACCTAATTACACTCATCAAAAAGTAAAGGAATTAGAATCAGGAAACCTGAATTCTAGTCCTGGCTTTGCTGGAAATCAATAATTTTAAGCATTTTAAAGCTACTTTGGGATTCTGATTACTCATTTGTACAGTGACGAGGTAACCTTCCATTTAATCTGGACAGCTAAATTAAATGCAAATATATTTCTTCAGTATTCTGAAAGTGTAGACATGTTCATCATTCAATGGATGGTCTACCTCTTATTCAATTATTTGCATTATTTAAAAATTCCTGACAATCGTAATTGGTCCCTATGAATAATATGCTCAATATTTTAAATCCAGAAAGTTCATGTAGTCAGCCACTACCTGGTGCAAATGAGGCCTGGTGCTCTTCACCCATGACAAAGACCCACACCTACTCTCTATCTTTTTTATCCATCATGTTTGGTTTTCAAATTCCCTTACTCATTTCACTAAAAAAAAAAAAATAAAACTAAATGCTTGCTGGCTATTGTGTAAAAGGTAATTGATTTAATTATTTTAGCCTAAACAAACATTACGTGATGGGATTAGCCCCTGGCACTTCCAGGGTCTGAAGTAGTAAGGCAACCAATTTAAGTTGCACCTTAAACAGTAGGCTCATAGAATTGTGCAGAGTGTGGGGGAAAGGCCTTATGGAGCATCAGGTCCAGTGTCTTTGTTTTGTAGAGAAGGTACTGAAGATCTATGGAAAGCAGGGACTAGATACAGAATAGTATAGATCACTCTGACCTAAGCGGCAGCATCCCTCTCAGAAACCAATGACATCATAGTTTGGCTTTGCCAGTGACATCTCCTGCCATTCTCCCTCTTGCTCACTAAACTCCTGGACCTCCCATCTAGTGTCTCTGGGAAAATTAGGAACAGGCAACCGGAAGACCATACACCAGGGCACACAGCCCTGTGAGAGACCATTAGCTGGCTTGCCAGAGCATCCTCATCTATGCCAAACTTGTGTCCACCTCAGGGCTCTTGTACTGTTTCCTCTTCTTAGAGCGTCTGCTCGCCATTTATTCCCCTAGAACAGTGGTTGTCAACCTTCTGGCCCTTTAAATACAGTTCCTCATGTTGTGACCCAACCATAAAATTATTTTCGTTGCTACTTCATAACTGTAATGTTGCTACTGTTATGAATCGTAATGTAAATATCTGATATGCAGGATGGTCTTAGGCGACCCCTGTGAAAGGGTCATTAGACCGCCATAGGGATTGCGACCCACAGATTGAGAACCGCTGCCCTAGAAGCTTCCTCTTCTTCCTTCAAGTGTTCCTTTTCTGAGAAGCCAATACCTGTCATTCATCTGAAATCCTTGGCCCTGCTATTATCCTCCGTATTGTGTCTGTGCTTTAATTTTTTCATAGACCTTATGAATCTTCAATATTATATGGGCATTATTTCCTTTTACACTTGATAATTATATTTTCTTCTCTACTTAAAAAACACTTCCAAGAAAATAAGAACTTTTTTCTTATATTTTTCACTTTATCCCCAGTTCCTAGAGGAGAGTGTGGATATAATAGGTCTCAATACAAATGAACATATGAGTTCATGAATGAGCTATTCTTAGTTTTCTCGGGGTTTTCCTTTGCTCTCTTTTAGCAATGAGCTTGTTGACTTGGGTGCTTCTAAGAAACTGGATTAGCATAATTCAACCTCAGTTTGACACACTTTGAATGTCAACTCCCTCTTCTTCTCTTAACTCTATATTGTACTTTTTTAACTCTCATTTACAAGGCAGTACAGTATATGTAGTAGTGGACTCCACAGGTTTCTTCTTGGGATATAATAGTAGGTTCAGAGGTCAACATACTATTTATACATTATATCTATTTCAAATCAGATGACTTTGAAAAGAATCCTCACCTTGTTTTTATTAAATATTTTAGTTGTTGATATTTGGTTCACATTATTCTGCTGACAAGGATGCTCTGAAAACAGAATTGTGCTTTTTTTTTATGTCCAAGGAGGTCTTAGCAAATGGTGTCATGCTAATTACATTGTCTACTTTAATCCCAAAATATTGATGGTTCGTGGGCTAAGGGTCCCAGTGGAAAAATACTGGCAGGACTTCTTACCTATTATGACACTTTTATTTAGATCGACCTTTATTTTCTAATCTACTTTCTTTATTCACTTCATTTAAGGGGTTATTATTCATACCAAGAACACTTTTCCCCCTGTGGCAGAGAGAAGAGTCTAAAGATTGCAGCTGATGCAAAGGCAAATTCAGAAGCAATCCAAGCCACTGTCCTGTGCAGAGCCAAATCCATCAAACAGAGGAGATGAAACAGAACGGCATACTCTTTAATTAGCTCCTACCCACAAAGAGTGGTTTTCAAGGGGGGAGGGAATACTTGGGTCCATACAAGTTCCTTCTTGTCCCTCAGGGGTTTCCTGTGGCCTTGAGGGAAAATCCGTTTGCAGATGATGCCTTTCCTTGTTTTAATTTGGGGTAGGTTTTACAATAGGTGTGTGTACATGGTTCTCAAAGATCTCACCTAGCCACTCACAAGGCTGGACTGCAAAGTCCTCAGAGGGGGAAAATGTACTCTTGATATTCAGAATTTACATATCACTTAGAGTGGATTCTGGCACACAGTAGGGGATTTCTAAGTGTTTGTGAATGAATGAATAAAAAATCAGCAAGTACAGGAAATCAGTGAATTCACTCGTCCTCCCTGATTATTTATATTAAGAAATGAATAAAAGAATTCCATTGGTACAGTTATTTGGATTTCTCCCAGTCCCTTGTCTCAATCTGAAACAAGTTCAGATTCCTTGTAGAATCAATTGAGGTCTCTGTGGTAACAGCATCAACTTGTCTGTCTATCCCTCTCCCATCTCTTCCTTACAGGTGTGGTTTCCATGTGCACTTCCTAGAAAACTTGCATGCACATCTCTGTGGCAGAGTCTTTTTCCAGGAAACCCAACCTAAGGCACCATTTTGAGACTACATTGTCTCAGTTTTTAAAACATAGAAGATTCTACTTACTCTAGAATAGGGTGTTGTAAAAATTAACAGTAAAGTATAGAAAAGAAATGTCATGGTTGGTCATCAGTGAAGGCTACGTTCTTTTTCCGTTTTTTTTTTCTCACAACCTGGACCATGTTTTAAGTCTTCTGCTGCCACAAATAAGTGGTTAGCACCTACTTGTAGCATGAATGAAAAGTGCAAATGTCCACTGAAATGGAATATCAGAAAAGATAAATCCATAGAGACAAAAAGCAGATTAGTGGTTGGTAGGGGAAAGGGGTTATGGGGAATGGGAAGTGACTGCTTAATTGGTATACACATATCTTCTTGTGTCCTTTTTATAGCGCCAATGACGTGGGAACATGGGTAAAGGCTTGGATGCTCAAATATTAGACCATCTCACATGGACTCTGTAAATGAAACCTCGAAGTTCAACTTTGGTAGAGTTTTCCTGTGATATATTTGAGTTTCTCCCTTTATTAAAAGTAAAGCCCAACAATATCTTGTTTTCTGTGTGTTTGTTTTGGGGCCTGGGATAAAGGGGACATGGTACCTGAAACAACCCACCCCCAACAGGGAAATGCAACCCCATACTGTAATTCACTATAGTGTTCGCTACTATTCTCCATCATAACCTCTCTGCAATTACACAGCAGTCATCTGTTTACCTGAGCTTCTGAAGGACAATAGGTCTTAATCATACCTTGGAAGTTGCTTAACACACAAAAGGCACCCAGTAAGTGTTTTTAAGTGAGCAGATGCCTAAATGAATATAATCTGCATAAATCTATAGCAATACATTCTAAAGGGCTGTGCTAAAATGATGAGTGGTTGAGTTACAATTTGTAATTAGGACAAGCTTGACCTGCTTGGGCAGTTGCAAATCCTTTGAAGTTGACATCATGGAGTACAAATGACAAATGGTCCTTTTCTGTCAGCCTTAGTGCCATACACTGGGCAGAATGGACCACTGATCTGAGCCGGTATGTTTTCTTCTTGTATTCATTCATAAGAACATGATTAAGTTAATTGAGAGATTTGCAACAAATGGCCACGCATGGCTTTGAGCTCTTTAAAACATTGCATTTGAAATTGTTAGGAAAAAAATTATCTATTATCTTCAACCTATTAAATAAGAAACTATTCCAGTGACTCACTCAATTACTCCCTGGAGAGTAGTTCAAACTGATTCCATAGAGGCAAGCAGAAGTCATGCATGGGGAGTCTTCAGATCAGAGTTCCAAGAGCTGGCTTTCAGAATCTCAGCTTCAGTGGGGGAAGTGGTGTTTAGAAAGGGCCATAGAAGTTGTGAAGACTTAGGGTTTACTCTTTCCTACAACTTTTAGAAGTGGATGATGCTGGGCACATCATTGAAGTTCTTTAAATATCAATTTTCTCATTTGCAAAAGGGAGAGAATAATATCTATGTGTTAGGATGACTGTGAAGATGAAATGTAACAATGTATGTACAGAACCTGGTGATCTTTTCTTGTGTGTTTTTTTAAATGTAAAATCATTTTCTTTTTAAATTTTAAAATTAGCTTTATTAATGGAATATGGATGGAACTATCATTCTCTTCATTTGACTTTTCTTTTGCTATTATTTTGGTTTGCTATAGAAGTATAACATTATTTTAGTATTTTTAATACACCTGTTGTTGGTATGATGTGGGTAAGAGGCATTAAATTGTTTATTAGGTGATCTGAATTCCAATTCATTTTTTTATGTCCAGTTGCGATGGCTCAGTTAGTCAGTTTGGAGCCTCAGGTTCCTCACATGAAATTACATTTTTTAGTTTATTGAAGGTGTTAGAGTCTATAAATTCTCTATCTTCCTATATATCTAGTTATCACTACTTATTTTTTATTTATGCATCCATCCATCCATCCATCCATCCACAATTCCATGAAAATCACCTTTCATGCCATTCACAAAATGACTTGATCATTCATATTAACTTGAGGTTACAGGTACACAACTAAAATGAACAAGAACATTATTAAAACTGATTGCAATGAAGATAAGCACTACTGCAGTGGATGAGAGATATCTACACCTTTTGGTATACTAAAGTATATCATTTGACCAAACAAAATTGAATTGGCGGCAAAGGCACGCAAACATGCTTTGAGCTAACCCAAAAGATGAAAATTCAAGTTAAGTAAATAAGTTGAAGAGTTATTACTATTAATACTCTAATCAGACAGAGTAAGAGTATTTTAAATAGCAAGCTCTTTTAACATATTCAAATGTGATTTATTTTATGAAAATCTAATCTACATAAAGGATTTTGTCAAGAACACCTTCGTCCTATAGATTAAGCCAATGTGGTTTTTTACTATTTCCATTAATATGAGCCTCTATTTAGATCTTTGTTCATTCTACTCTGAATTTAGCCTCTAAGAAGATAGATATTACTCTAGCTAGCTCCATCTTCCATTTCCACTGTGTTGCCACTGTCTTAGTTCAGACCCTTAGGAGCTCTCTCCAGGTGATTATAAACAGCTTCCCAGTTGACTTCCTTGCCTTCAAAGTCATCCCTCTTCAATTCAACCATCATCCAATCTGCTGATTTTTAAAGATATAAATTTGATTGTAAAAATCCACCCCAAAATTTCTCATTTCCCTTAGACTAAAGAACAAACCTTCCAGCAGAGGATACATCACTGTTCTGGCCCCATTTATTGCCACTTCTCACAATACTACCGCCTACACTAACATAGCGGTGAACTGAACTTCTTGCTGTTCCCTGAGCTTCCTTACGCTTCTGTGTCTTTCTGTAAGCTCTTTGTTCAGTAGGAAACAGCTTTCCCTATTAATACAGTTAAATCCTATTTGATCAGTTGATCAAATGTTCCTCCTCGAAGAGGCTACCTTTGGCCTCATCATGCATACCCTTATGAGTCTCTTTTAATGCCCCCTTTCCTTGCTTCAAAGACACCTTTGCTCACCTTGTTTGATGGTTAACACACCACACTGTAATTATCTGGACAAACGTTTCCACCTTCCCCAGTACACTGTGACAGCTGAGTGCAAAGGTCCGTGAGCCTAGCACAGTGCCTGGTGCAAGTAACCACTTGGTAAATATTTGTTGAATGAACAAAGGGAATTAACTTTTTCAAGCAATGGCAATGTGGCTGCCACATACAACATTTCAAATGAAAAAAAAAATTGCCATTCTGGATGATTTGTCTAAGTGTTTTGTTTACCTGTCATATTACGATGTTAGGGATCAAAGGATAGCAATTTTTCCTCTTCATATTGAAAATAGCTTTGTTTTTACTGTGTTTTTTTTTTTTCCCCCACCATAAGTCAGCAAGATCAAAATCTCCTCCTAATTATCTCCACTACCTGCTGAAATATCTGCTGCTGGGAAGGTGTCGGTTGCCCCAACAATTATGCTCGTGGTAACGGCGCACATTCTCATGAGGGGGGTGGTAATGCCTGAACTTCAAAGGGCCGATGCCAACTGGTGATGTACATTGTAGCTCAATTAAAGCATAATTAAGGTGGCACGCTATATTCTGACTTCTGCTGTGTCAAAGATAATTCATTCCAATAGTGCATACTGTCACCTTCATGGCGGCTCCAAAATTACACAGCGGATGGCAGAACATCGCTCTTTAACTCCTCCAGTGCCCATCCACGTGAAGATGGCATGGGGCAGTTGGTGGGGCCAGATTTAGCTCAGCATCTGGGTAACGAGCACTGCTTTGTGCCTGGCCCAGAGAAAGTCTCATGTACACAATTTCACCGATTCATGTTTCAGAGGGATTGGCCAAAGCTAAGAAAGTTTCTATGACACGCCTCAAACCATGAGGCTTGTCCCTCACGGCTGAGGTTCAGTCTTTTCTTCTAAAAGTAAATTAATGCCTTCATCCCTGGTCTGTGTGGTTTCTTATAAAACATGTCCCCCCCCCACATACATGTATGTCGTCTGTCTATCTATCTATCTATCTATCTATCTATCTATCTATCTATCTATCTATCTATCTATCAGTAGCTCAAGTAAAGTGATCAACATAATAGGTGCTCAGTAATTTTTTTGGAATCGTTTCCATTTTGTTTTCATTTTCCAAGACCTCCAAGCAGGTGAGTCATCCAGCCTCCCAGTGTTCTTATGCCTAATAACATATTCAACTTCATGAACTCTCTCCACATTCTAGGAAGGAGCAAATGGAAACAACACCAATATTTGGTAGGTCCTGAGTGGGACCAAAGTTTTGCCACCCCAAAATATGACTTTGGGCGTACTGATTTAAGCTGGTTATTACAAAACAAAAGCCTCAGAAAGAACCTTGGCCCTCTCACCTTACCTGCCTAACAGAATTCAGATAGAGCAGCGGTTCTCAACCTATGGGTCGCGATGTCTTTGGGGGTCGAATGACCCTTTCACAGCGGTCGCCTAAGACCATCAGAAAACACATATATAATTACATATTGTTTTTGTGATTAATCACTATGCTTTAATTATGTTCAATTTGTAACAATGAAATTGGGGGTCACCACAACATGAGGAACTGTATTAAAGGGTTGCGGCATTAGGAAGGTTGAGAACCACTGAGATAGAGGAACCTGCTTCAGAAAGGAATTCTTAGCTACGTTATTCACCTTCGCCTATCTGAGTTAAGTGTGGCAGACAGGAGGATGCACGAAAACAACTGTATGCTAGATTTCCCTCTGTGCCCCATTGTTCCTGGGTTCCCAAGCAAGAATCGGTTCATCACATGTTGGCTCTTTCTCATCTATTGTAAATGACCCGCTTTCCCTTTGAAATCCCAGGCCCTGGTACCTCTTTTCCTTAGTCCAAAATGACATGTAAAACTCAGCTGTCCAATGTGTCTTTGGGTATCATATCTTGTCACTCTTGGATATACATCTGTAATAAATGTTGGACATTTTCTCCTGCTCATCTGTCCCATGTTAATTTGATTACTAGCTAGAAGAACTTAGAAGGTGGGAGGAAAGTTATTTTTTGTGCCCTCAAAGTCCGTTAGGTGACTGAAAAGCCCACATGGTGACTTGGTTCCTCTAGGAATGTCTTATTCTCACAGCAGCAGCCGCAAGGTGATGGACTTGCATGGGTGTTTGGAGGAGGGGTGGGTCTATCTGGAGCAGCTGATTTTCTGGTCACCCACTGGAGGTTGGTAAAAGGCCCCACGCTGGTTTATCATGGTTAAGAACACAGAATCAGGAGTTGAAAAAATACGAATTTATTTTCAGGCTCGGTCACTAAATAGTTGTATACATTTAATCGAATATGAAACTGAGCCGTAATTCTATCATCTATAAAATGGGAATGACAATAACACTTGCCACATAGAGCTATTGAGAGGATTAAATGAAATGATACATACAAAGCTCTTGGCATTATGTCGGTAGCAATCTTAGAATATAATAAATGTACACTGTTATGACTGTTATTATCATTTTTACTATTACTACTCTAACTTCTTATCCCTTGTCTCCTCTAATTTCATTTCTTCTCACACATATTCAC